TTGCGCAATCGTGGTGTTTAAGTTTATCGTTTAATTAATCGGGTAAAAAAGGAAAAATTGCACAATCGTGTTGCAGCCATCGGTGGCTGCGTAATCGATGAAAATAGATAACGGATAACATACCGGTAAACGATAAACAATTGAAAACGGATAATGAATAACGAAACAGTAACGAAAAACGATTAAAATTAATGTTGAATAACGTAACAGAGAACGATTAACGATTGAATCATAAAAGAAATTGTTATAGAAAAATATTTATAACTCTTGGTAAATAGATTTGGAAAATAGTTATTTTTGTAAAATTGACTTCAATTACTAGGTAATCTAAATAAAATAAATATATATAAATGTTTAAAACAGCAATAAATTTATCAACTAATAAAATATAAATAAGCGTTACCAATTATAATTTATAATTATGCTTTCTGAAATTATGTCGGATATTGTTGGCGCTGAACCCGAATGGCTTGTCTCATCAAAAATAATTTCGGTGAACACCGATGAAACATTAGTTATACACCGTACATAAGTTTTAAATTGACAATAAATACATATTTTAAATGTTAAGTGCATTTTATTGTTTTTGTACAACAAATAGGATTGCTTCATTTATAAGTTATGAGTTATGAGAGTTACAAAGAGAAAATAGGTAATTTAGGTAATTTTAAATTAGGTATGAATATAAATTAAGGTTATATATATATATATATATATATATAAATAATATTTAAAATATGTTATATTATTTTACATAGTATTGATCACTAAATATTACATTTGAAAATTTTACAAATTTTATACTGATTTAAATAACGTAAAACGCTAAATTGTTAAAAACGTTTTAATTGTCAATAACGGTAAACGGAAAATGTTATAAACGTTTAAGTTTGTACATATAACGTTTAAATGCTTAAATTGAATATCGTTTAAATTATTTATAACGTTAAACGCTCAATTGCTTATAACGTTTAAATGTCCCGTAACGGTAAACAATGTATATTATTTTGGTTTAAGCCCTGGTTTATACCATCTTGATCTAAAAACAATGAGATATAATACATTTCGCTGTACGTCATGAATAAATACATAATCGATGGTAATTATGTCGTTTTTTTAGTTAATTATCACTCATTGTTCAACATGGTATTTGATATTTGAGAAAATAGTGTTTGTCTATAATCAAATCGAAATAATAATTGCTCTCCTTAAGGTTGGCCACGGCGGAAAACCGTACGATTTTATCAGGATTCTAACATCACAACACCATTTGTTTCGCGGTTATTCTGAACGTTTTAAATATATGATTTCTATATTTTTATTTTCTATAGCATGTATCCGTATAACTCACTGGAACAAGGAAGTTTCGTTCTTCGAAACGTTTAAAAATGTATTGTTTTAGTTGGTAACCAACTGAAGCAATGAAAAGTCGAGATGCCCAACGCTTGTATTGACATTATGTTCGCGATACCGCGCGCTAAATCTAATTGTTACGAAGTTATGAAATGTAAACACATTCTTGGCACTAAAGTTGTCGATAAAATAACGCAAACTGATGGATTACGCTCGAATCATTAACCATATATGATATGATACTTCGGTACCTATTTATAATATTGTGACGCTAACGATGTACGCTTAAGTTGAATATACTTTGTGTTGCTGATTATGGTAGTGGCGATTTTTTTCACTACTATGTTTTTTTTTTTTTTTTACATCATTTACACTGTTTCTCAAACCGATGACGGGTTGAAGAGGAAAAACGTATAAACAATGACGTGTCGATCGTTGTAATTTGTTGGATAATAATATCATTAAAAAAAAAAAAAATAAACCCGAAGGAAAAAACTGAACAACGCGTTGCCAGCGGTTGAACATCGTGAAATCGATTTCGATTCGCACGATTATTAAAATATTCATTAAACCTGTATCGGCATCATGTGCTTAACCGTATGCAAGTAGTAGTGTGGGCCAGGGTTCGCTTGGGAATCCATCGCGTCGAGTGACGTAAACATTTCATCAGATTCGCAGGAAACGCGTTACACATACGTAAAACACATTTTACTAAGCAATATTTACTATATAGCTCTTAAAACACGTGTCACGTGAAATACGTGTTTTATACAAAATATATATCCATATTTATAATAGTAAAATTAGTAATTTTACGTTATGTTCTTAAAGTTTCAATAGAATATTATTAGTACAGTATTAAGCATAGGTATAACTTGGAAATTTATTAGGGGGGGGGGGCAAAACTATAATTACATATCTAACAAAAAGGGTATCCGAGGCTAAATGCCGCTTTACTACCTATATATTATTATATAAAATTATTAATTTTCTAACATTATGTTTGATAAGCGAAAATTTAAGATTAAAAAAAAAATGTTATAGTAATAGCTATAACCAGCTGTTTTGTACTTATTTTAAAACAAGGTATGTTAAATACCAGAGGGGGCACTGACCGTCCTAATTTTTTCTAGGGGGGTAAATTGCCCCTCCTTTCCCCCCCTGTTTACAACTATGGTATTAAGTTAAGGTTGTACGTTTTTATTTTGGATTTTACACGTGACACGTGAATCCCGTGAATTCACATGTATTAAGAGCTCTAATAATTACAAAAATGTTCGCGAAACGCGCGTTCTGCCGGTGTCGTCGGAAGAACAGATCTGCTCGAAAGTAGCAATGTATTATGTAATAAAATGTGCATCGACGTGTTATGCCATAAACCGCTGCGCGTTGTAGTAACACTCGTGTGCATTTTTGATGAGCACCTCATTAAACCGAGTGTTACAATCGCATGATACGCGAGTATTAGGTTATTCAGTTGAGTGTCTTTTAAGTGTGTTTTGGAAGCACTCGGCTTGTTTTTTTCATATCGACTTATCAGTAATTGTTTTTTGGCCATTATCGCACAGTTGTCGAAACACGTGTGTAAAAGTCTTGAAAAACGGGAAAAGACTGAACCCGTGACGATTGTTTAATACACATTGTACTCGTAATATATTTCGTGCAATAAATGAAATTGGAATTCGATAATAATTGTACACCATAAACGTTGTAGCGTTATATTAATGCGATAAGTCCGTCCTGCAGGACATGCTTTAGTAATAAAATAATGATGGATATTTTCGTAAATAAACATTTTATATTTTCTATCGATTGAAAATAAGTATATCACTTGAACCACAATGCCTAATCTTAAATTTGTTTATTTCTTTTAAACAACTTCAGTTAATAAAACAAATTATTACATAAGCGTATCAAATAAATTACATTAATATAAAGTATACAACAAGTATAACAAAAATAAAACAGAAACGTTAAATCTCACTAAAACATAAAGTAAACGGTACAATAACTATATTATAATTGTTATTTTTATTTTTTGATTCTTTCCATTCTTGTATTCAAACCCGAAGGTTGGTTTCACAGTCGCACAAGCGTTCTGCACTCTTCCCTGTTACTTGCAAATTTTTTTAGTTCCATGTAGTTTGACAGTCCAGCATCGGAAATCATTTGCTCGTCAAATAAAACTCTCGGACGTCCTCGGTCTGTCTTGCCTTCAATTTTTCCTTCTTTTAGAATAATTTTTTTATTATTATAATTGAAATGTCTCCCAACTTTTGAAACATTTTATCGAGGATTGACAATGTTTGAAGTGTTCTTGAGTACGATTTTTGTCTAAAGATTGTTGTATAAAACTTTTTAATAATAATAAAACCTACCGAAAAATATGACAACTGGAAAAAATTAACTATAATACAGATACATTTTTTGTTTCACATAATGGTAAACACGGAAAATATGATCAAAACAAACGTAATACAAATATTTCGAAAACTGTTGTGTTAGGTAAGTCTCATAAATATGTATAACCTAACATCCTTAATCGTGATTATAGAGCTGTAAGTTAAATGATGCAACATTTAAGATTGAGTTTTCAAAATTGAAATTTTTTTTAGAAATTAAAAACAAAGAGACTATAATTTGTGGCAGTTTAAACTTTCCAAAAAAACAAACGTGAAATTCTCAAAAAAAAAAAAAAAACAAGACATTTAATTTTTGTAACAAAATCTACCCAATATTTTTTTCTTTAAATTTTTCTTGAATTAAAGAGTTTTTGTGTGGATCAATCATTAGGAATTGTAATGTTTGATAATTTTCGGATTATTCTAAGCGGGCTCTTCGTATAATGCAATGTGTTATTGTTCGAATATTTGATCAAAAAATCTGTACCAACAAAATAATGTTCGTATAATATATCTGCATATTGAATTAATAAAATTGCAATTCGAGTATGTAAAAATGCACGATCCCATTGATTACGTTAATCACCTATATCCCCACCCTATTTGAATACACGTCCCAAGGATAACCGGTGTTTCGATTTTCCTTAGCTCTTAACCTTAGACGATTCCACGATTTGAGATTTTTTCATTGCCAACGCGTAGAATGTTAGAATTATTTTCTTGTTTTCGTTACGCCCGGAGATCGTGGTAATTACACGGTTCGTTTTTATTCGGCGTAGGCGGTTTGGCGGACGACTGCGTTCATAAGGATCAACGTAACTCGCGATTAGATCGCGCAATAGCGCGTTTGTGCGTCCAACGAACGGTGTCGCGGAAGTGCGCGTACGCCTCCCCCTCCACGAGAACATCTTGCTTCGCACCGCGCGAATCGCAACGGCACCGGCGGCCGTACCACGTGACCGGACGGTGTGCGAACATCGCATCGTCGATTCACTACCGTTGTAATACGGTTTTCCGGAAACGTCCTGACCGCGGGCGAGATGACCATCGCCCAAAACCGATAACCTTAAACCGTTGATCGCGATTCACGCGTGCGCACTTTGTCCGAAGCGCGCGCGCTACTACGTACACATCACGGCGAGTCGGTTCCCCCGAGGTCGACCCGCGATCTTGCCGTGGCCGGGTGGTCGCCGTTCACCGCGATACGTTTCTCGCGGCGCCGTCCGCGGTCAGATAACGAACCCGGGCGCGGCCCCAGGCAATCGAACCGGCGGGCGGCCCCCCCTCGATAACTTGTGCGCGGATCCGGTGACGCGCGTCCGCGGGCCAGTAACTGACGCACGGCCGACGCGATTCGGACCCGGAGCGCATTTCAAACGTGTTTCGAACGCGGTGTCGGTTCGTGCACCATTCGCTCGGATCTCGCCACTCGTTAAGAACATCGCACGCACGCACGCGTCTTTACAGGACACCTTGGCCGCGCGCATTTGTGCGCCATTGCCGCGCGTCGTGCCGCGACCACGTCGAAAATGAGCTCGTGCACCGTAAGTAACCGTGTTCATGTATACGTTCAACCAATAGTGCCGAACGCGGTTTCGTTCGGGTTTTATCGATTAACGCGCCCCATCGGAGATTTTTCTATTTCGAATCACTCGTCCGCGCGAACGAGTTCGTCGTGCGGCGGTCCCGTGAGTTCCGTACATTTCCGTAACGTCTGAATTGTTTTTGTGTCTCGCTAAAAATGTTTCGCGACGGAACAAATAAACGAAGACGTTTAGCGATTAGACGTAATAGTTAATGGACACATAGCTATTTGAAAATTAAAATTTAACCCGAACGAGCGGTTCGAAAACGACATTACTGACACGCAATACATATTTTATTTAAACATTTACAAACATTTTTCGGACACGGGTTGAACTACGCAACAGAAATACGTAACCGTTTTACGACTCGCTATAGAGTTGTGCTTTTGTAACCCGCCATCCAAGTCGGTGGCGTGCTCGAGAATTTTGAATGGGGGGGGGGGGGGGTGGTCAACTTTTATATTTAATATGTGTTATGAATTTAAATGTAAAAATCATAAATGAACAAAGTCAAGTTTGCGAGGTTTTTCAGCAAGCTCGTCTTCAGCTGAAAGCGGTACATTAATTTTATTATGCGACATTTTAATAGTAAATTAAACAATTTAAAAACTCAAAATATGGGCATAATTTCACATATAAAAACAAATTTATATAAAGAATAAATGATATAATTATTATTAAAATAGTCTGTGATATGATGTTATATGATAAATTCATAAATTGATAGTTATATTTTGTGATTTTAAAAGTTCCTTCACTGGAAGGTATCTTTAATCCGTCCTTCACACCATAGTTATCAAATTCATCAATTTCACTTATTGTTCAAAATTTCTGAAACAGATCGTGGAAATAAAAATTTAGTAATAAAAAAAATAATAAATAAAAATATTTTGTGATTCGTGATTATAAGTACTAGTCAGTAGGTAGTAACCACGGTCTTTGAATAGTAATAATTATCACCAATATCAAATAATACTAAATTATAATAATAATTTAGATTGTCGCTCAAGTTTTATAAACGTTACTTCGGGGGTCCCTCAAGGCGGTCATCTTTCTCCTATTATTTTTGCTATTTTTATTAACAGCTTGAATACAGCTCTTAAGCACTGCCGTTTTTTTTGGCTTTTGCTGATGATGTTAAATTATTTTCATGTGTCAACTCCATTAATGATTGCATACGCCTCCAGAGTGAATTCAATTGTTTATCAACCTGGTTAGAGAACCATGGACTATGCCTCAACATCAGCAAATGTCAGATTATGTCCTTTACTAGACGCTAAGCTACTATTCTATTTGATTATTCTCTTAACAATCATTCCATAACACGAGTTTCTGTAAAGAAAGATTTGGGTATCCTTCTAACTTCTGACTTAGACTACCACTCCCACATTGAGCACGTCACCTGTAAATCTTTAAAGACTTTAGGTTTTATAAAACGCTTCTCTTCTAATTTCAATCTAACCTATTCTCTCAATAATTTATACTGTGTGCTTGTAAGGCCGATAATAGAATATGGTTCCATTCTTTGGGATTCTTATACAACCTCAGACTATTCTCTACTTGAGCGTGTTCAGCGTAAATTCCTTAATTTTGCATCCTTTGCTCTTAATATCCATCATGAACCTCATGATTATTCCCCAGTCTTGCTCCACTTACAACTTAGTAGTCTTTCCGATAGAAGAGTCTTAGCCAACATTAACTTCCTTAATAAACTTACGAATGGTACCATAAATGCTCCCGAGATTCTCGCTGAAGTAAACTTTCGTGTTCCAAGTAAATCTTCCAGGCTAATGGCCCCCTACTACGTACCTCGTCACACCACTAACTATGGCCGAAACGACCCTATCCACCGAATGATGCGTTTAGCAAATGAGAACCTCTTTAGTCTTTAAACCTTAATCTTTGTTTATCCAAATTGTAAATATGTTGTCTGTTATCTTATTCCGTTTAACTGTACTTAGGGTTAGTCCCGTAATGTAAAATAAAATAAAATAAAATAAAAATACAGACTAATGAGGAGAAAATGATACCTAATAAATAAATAAATTGTTATATATAAAAAAAAAAAACTCTAAAATTGGGAAATACAATAATTTTAATTATATGTAAGTAGTCAATACATATTATATATTTGTCAAGTATCCATTTGGGGGTTGAACCCCCTAAACCCCCTTTGAGCACGCCCGTGATCCAAGTAAATTATTTAAAAATTAAATTTTCAATACTTCGATCCTTGAAGATTTTAGTTATTTCGTTTTAATTGTTTAACATAAATTTCAATTATTTATAGTGTTATCCTTTCAATACAATTACAAAAATTTTAGTTCTCTAAAAATATTTGTGTAAAACTAGAACTAGTGGCGACGCGAAATATTTTACTTCATGAGCCCTATTAGAATTTTGCCCACCCACCCACCTATCTAAAAAGAAATTTAAGGGTAGCTTATAAAAAGAGCTCCCCCACTATTCGTTCTACATGATACATACCCACTCGATACCTAATGATCAATACCCACCCACCTAGCCACCCACTGACTTAAGTCCAGGGACTCAAAAATCTGCCATCACGCCGCCACTGACTAGAACTGATTTTGGTTAGAATGACATCTTACCTGGTTTTAGTTATGTTCAGTAAAATTTCAACTTTACATTTTTTTTGTATTTTCGGGTTTTACACATATTTAATATTTTTATTTTTTACTAAATGATTATTTTATTTGTATCATATACGATAGAAAACATTTATGATTTTATAGGGTTACAAATCATAGATTTTATAACATATAATTGTGTAAAAAGCATGATATATTTCCCCCAATATTTTGTGTTTTATTTTTTTTAAGGTTTCAAATAGAACAAGAACTATGGTATAAGCGTACGCAGGGGGTATGCAAGATATACAGCTGCATACCTTGAACACATAGCCTTGCTAACCAAAGAACAAAGATTTGCTAACCGAACTATTATAAAGATATTCATTTATATATATTCATTTATTCATGTATATTTATTAAATAAACACTTTAAGTGCAATCGAGATGAATTAGTAGCCGAAATAAAGTTGGTTACAATAAAAAAAATTGAAATCAACTGTGATGCTAAAATATTTTGGTTTTGGTTTCAATGGTTAAAATAATTTGATAAACATTTTTTTTTTTAATTATTTATTACTGTGATAAAGAAATTTGCTGTAATGTTAGTTACAAGTTATACATGTAAGCGATCATTTACTAAATTAATATTGGTGAAGTCAAAATTAAGAAGTACTATGCTTCAAGAGAGATTAAATAGCTTAATGTTTTTAACTATAGAGCAAGAATATGACTATAAATGTAAATCCTGATGACATTATTGATGATTTCAAAAATTTGGCTTAACGTAGAATTGTGTTATGATCAATTATAATTGTTTATCAAATTAATTTTGTTTGTTCATTGAAGCATACGATTGGGTATATGTTTGTTTATTTACACTATTTGAATATAATACTCAAATCATTTGAAGTGTTATATGTTTAATTTGTTTTCTAGTAATTTATTTTAAATTATAATTATGAAGATAGTTATAATTTATAAGTTATAACAATAAAGAAATGGCCATTGAGTCACTTTAAAAAAAAAAATATTAATTTTAAATTTAAATTTTTATTTAGACATTTATGTGTATATTTTTACTAGCATTTTGAACGCTTAAGATAACTTCTATTGTAAGGGGGGGGGCAGTGATAGAGACATTCTTCTGCATATCTTAAAACAGAGATATGTGTACGCCTATGAACTATAGTTGTGTATTTTTAATACATATATTTTAATATATTTAAAAATATTGTTTAATCATTTTTGTAATCATTAAATGAAAATATTATCTATCACAAATCCCACTTAACAAAAAGTAAGAGATGAATTTAAAACATTACCTTCCATATTTTATTGCGTCTCCAGAAGTACTCTGGTGAATAAAATGAATTCGTTAGTTTTATCGTACGGTTATGTTTTCGTATGGTGTAGTTTGTTTTCACGCAACAGTTAGTAATTAAAAACGTGTGCAGTTTTCATTTTTTTTTTTTTTATTATTTAAAATAAACAATACAAATATTTTACTCGGTAAAACCCTTTATCCGCTAAATTCAAAAGTGACAAATAATTTATTTTGCTATTAATGAATTGTCTTGTTGCAGAAGGAAACCCTCTACCAAAAGCTGAGTAGAAAAAAAGCTTACGTAGAAGAGATCGGTGTAGAAGGAAATGAAAAATTTAAACGAGTGCTGAACATTTTCGATTTGACTGCTCTGGGAACGGGTTCGACACTGGGATGTGGTGTGTATGTATTGGCCGGAACAGTGGCCAAATCCGTTGCCGGTCCAGCAGTGGTATTGTCTTTCATATTAGCCGCAACGGTGTCTTCGTTTTCAGGTGCTTTATGGTCATTGATAATATTACAACATTATGTTAATTAAGTTCCATAACACTCATCTCCTCTTTTTTCAAACCGGTTTGAAAACAACTACATTTTGAATTGCCAATAATTGGATAGTGTACGCGGGAAACGGCAATCCTTGATCGTTATTACATTTTGACTTATGTAATTATTAATAACAGTACTTTTTGGCACGCTTTTATTCGTTTAGTTTTATTACATTAATATTATAATAATAGTGTCTCGAGAAAATTCATCGACCTCACTTAATATGCGTATTGTTTTGTTACGATTGATAATTATAACGCAATAAACAACGCTAAGGTTTCGCGAATCTCATTGTGTTGTTGAATTACGGCACTAAACATTAGCAGTGAAATACTAGGCAAAGATCAACCGGGCTGTAATATCATCTTGTTTCCGGTTCCAGGAGTTTGTTATGCTGAATTCGCCGGCCGAGTGCCCAAAGCTGGATCTGCGTATATTTACAGCTACGTGGCCGTAGGAGAGTTTATTGCGTTCGTTATCGGCTGGAACTTGTTGCTAGAACATACGATAGGTAAGACGTTGAATAACTAAACAATAGACGTACCGAAAATTGAGGCGTTGACATGGAAAAGGTACTAAGTCGAAAAAAATCAATTTTTTGTTTTTTCGTTGAAAATGGATTAAATACATATGTCAATGGCATGATAAAGGAACTAATTCAATTTCTTTTATATATTAGGAATTACGTTGAATGCAAGATGACACTAGTCGTGAGTCATTGTGGTTTGGCTTGGAAAGGGTACTAAATTATCTCACGTGTTTATCAATGTTATAATATTGTTTTCTTTGATACGAACATTGTCAGTGGCGTAGTTACGGGGAGGGTGTAAGGGGTTTCCACCCCCCCACAGATTTTTTTTTTAATGATATTTGATTATTATTTATTAATATTTATATATTATTGTAAAATATTTTGATTTTACTATGATTAGGTATATATTAAAAATTGAATAACAAAATAATTTTCATTAATACGGGACATAATAACACTATTTTAAATGTAATATTATTATATATGATCTCGTTTTAAGATATACTACGAACACTTAAAAACTTACTCTTAAACACCCCCCCCCCCCCCAGAAAAGAATTGTATCTACGCTACTGAACATTGTTATCAACTATCGTCTAATATGATTTATCACAATTCAATTAAAAATGAAATTAGAAAAGAAGGTTCAAAAAATACTAAAAAAAGTTTTTTTCCTTCCCCTGTAAAATTTGGTTTTTATTACTTAGTACCTTTTCCATGTCAACGCATCAATTAATCGCACGTATATATGACTCGAGTTTAATATTTATTTTGCACGTTTTTTAGGCACCGCTGCTGTTGCGAAAGCGATGAGTAACTATTTAGATTCTTTACTCGGAGACCCGCAAAAAAAGTTTATGAAAAAACATTTTCCGATACACATGGAATTTTTGGGCGAATATCCAGATATTGCGTCTTTTCTGTTTATCATGAGCATCGCCTGTAATTATTTTGTTTTTTAAAAAATGAACCAATAAAACTATGCATATTATATTTTAAAAATGATTAATATTTTAACGAAGTTGAATGTATTCTTGTGTCATGTATCAGTATTAAAAAAAATCAAGTTTAAGTTTATCATTCATTATTTAGGTCAAGGATAAAATTATATATAAAATGGTTCACAAACTCTATTTTTAACAAACAATTATAATCTTTTATAAATATTATTGTACACTGATGTACAAACATGACGCGATGATATAGCAAATTTCATTGTAATGTACCATATTAAATTATTTGATAATTAATATATTTGTAATTTTTTAGTGGTTGTAGCTTGGGGTGTTCGGAAATCGTCATCTCTCAATAACCTTTTCACCTCATTGAATTTATTGACTGTATGCACAGTTATTGTCAGTGGATTTTATTTTGGTAAGTATAAATTAGTGAACTATTCATATTTTATTTTTCAATGATAAACTCATTCTGAAACATCACATTAATTATATCTCTATTAGTACAAATATACGTAGAAGTAAGATATGATTTTTTAATTTTATACGTCTTTTAATTTTACTGAGGTTCAATGTAGGTATAACTAATCTTTTTTTCTCTTCAATAGCAAACTCTATATTAAAAAATATATATTACAAAGAATATTTTTCTTTGATAAACCACTATGATTATATCACTATTGATTTTAGCAAATTTGTCCAATTGGTTTATTCAAAAAAAAGATATTCCACCTGAAGCAAATGGAGGCGAAGGTGGATTTTTACCATTTGGCTGGACAGGAATGGTCGCAGGAGCTGCGAGATGTTTTTACGGTTTCATCGGATTCGATTCAATCGCTTCAACGGGTATGAGAAAAATATAAATATTCACAAATATAGTATATATTTAGTACGTTCTATATTTACGTTATGAATTATAGTTTTAACAAAGCATCAATTGTTTTCATTAATAAGATGTGGTTGTCATTATAACCCCGGCGTAATAGTTTATCGAAAGAACTAGAATAAAAAAAAAAAAAATAGTTACTTTCATTGATGTCTTTATGCTATACATCATAAAGATTTTTCGTTTACCGAGATATTGCTAGGACGATAGAAATAATACTCTGGTTATTATTTATTATTTATAGAAAGGATAATATTTTATTATTTATTTGTCTTCGAACTTTCAAGCACTGTAAGTCTATTAATTATATTTATTTTGATAATTAATATTTAATCTGTTTAATTGTATTTATTTTTTACGTACTATGAACAGTATATGTAATATTTTTAATTAAATAAATTAAAATTATTTATCACATAGGCGAAGAAACAAAAAATCCAAAAAGAACGATACCACTGGCTATTGTTTTGACGTTGTTTTTTGTGACGTTAGCGTATTCTAGCGTAGCGTCCGTATTAACTTTGATGTGGCCATATTATGATCAAGTAAGGATTAGTTTTGAAATTAATTATAATTGAACGAGGTTAAATTAATTAAAAAATAATCCCAGGACCCAAATGCACCTTTACCAGTCATTTACGAAAACTTGGGAATGCCTTTGTTGAAATATTTGGTTACAGGCGGCGCAGTGTTCGCTCTTTTTACCACGTAAGTTTCTCTATACTTATCTATTTAAATTTGATTTATAATTCTAGCTATGGTATCATTTAAAGTTTAATAGGGTGTTTGTTTCCAATACCACGTATTTTGTACGCGATGTCCAGTGACGGTCTGTTGTTTAAATTTTTATCGACAATTAACGAAAAAACAAAGACACCTTTTATAGCTGCGATCATTTGTGGAGTCTGTGCAGGTAAAAATAGCTTTTTGGAAATTAATAGGCTCAAAATAGGTACTGAGAAATATAAATAAGTCTCTAAACATATCATAAGAGATAGTTTATGAGTTCAAATTAAGTAAAATAATTATTTTTCCCAATGAGTATTTTTAATGTTTGCTTCACCATATTAGTTATTCATCAGTAAAATCCCTTTATTCTCGGCGGGTTGGTTCTTAACAATCATTGTGTTAAAATTTTGTAATATTTAGTTTACAACTTTCTCAAATAAGGATAAATAATTTAATAAATAATTGAGTATAGTATATTATGGTAAAATTTCCATGGTTTTCGAGTCTATGAAATGAATCTTCGTTAAAGGCTATCAAAATTGTACTTATAAACATTTGTAAACTCATTTTCCAGGATTACTGTCAACCATATTCAATCTCGAGCAGCTAGTTGATATGGCATCTATTGGAACTCTTCAGTCGTACATGATTGTGTGCGTCTGCGTTTTAATACTCAGGTGCTTATTACCAGTACTGTTCTTTTACAAATAATTAAAATACTACAACACTCCATGGATGTTAGACGATATTATGATTTTGATTAATGAATTAAAGATAAGTTTATCATAAAATATACATTAAAAAAGTTTGTGTTTTAATTTTAAATTCTGAATGAAACGAGGAATATATTTGTTTTACCATGATGCAATTTCATGATTTCAACCAAGTAAGATGGTTCCAACTATCACCAAATTAACAGTAAAATATAATAAATGGGTTCTAGTAGGTACTTTGTAGGAGCAAAGTATCTTTTTTCAAATTTCTCAACCATTTTCCAAATAAATAAGAAAAACGGGGAAGATATTGCAAAAAACTTTACCACGTAAACGCAAAATTTACGGAATATCGATTTTCAACATTATTGAATTTTTGTTTTGGGACTCAAAAAATAACAATCCTATAGATATTTTCACTGGAACTTACATTATTTGCTGTTTATCGTATAATTTTTCAAATATTTTTTTAAGCTACTGATAGATACTTGAAAATTTCTTGTTTTTTTAGTTTTACTTCAATAATATTGATAAAATAATTTTGGTTTAACAAAAAGTTATAGAAGTTAAATATAAGGTTTCTCACATAAATCTTTTAATGATCGATAAAAAAATAAATTTCCATGAAACAAAATTAGTTATTGAGTTTGTATCCTATGAATATTAATCGTAGTGACTCGAAACATTTAATGATTACTTTTAATAACATTTTAAAAGCACATAACAGTTAAGCTAACACTTTCGAAATATTTTGATATTTTTGCTGTTTATAGACCAGTGGTTCTCAACCTTTTTATGCTCATTTTTTATAACTATAGATTTTGATAGTACATTATAGAAATAAAGTAAAAATAATCAAAAAAAAAAATTATTCTTTATTATCCAAAATTCTTCAATCGATTCTTCTGAACATTTAATTTTAAAACTACGATGAGCAGAAATAGATAGAAGTTCTTCTTCTTCTTTTAATGTAAAATTAAAACGAAGTACACAATGATGAAAAATGATTTCGTATTCAATCGTAGTTCACTATTTTTATTTCCAAAATATTATGTTTCCTTCTGTGCTATAAAATTCCAATAACTCTTCTTTTAATTCAAATAATCGCATTAACACTTTTCCTTTGGGTAGCTATCTTACTTTATTATTCATGTTTTGCGTCCATGGCATTATAAAGTTGTTTATATAAACGAGATTTCAATGGCCTCGACCTAATATAATTTACCATGGTTATAGCTTGATCTATTGCAGTTTTTTATTCTTGTGGTAATGTCTTAGAAATAAGTGCATTATAATTTATGATGTAAGAAATAATGAATATGAATTAAATTTATACTAATTTGTTTTACTAGTGTAATATAATCTTTAATATATTCAATCATGCAGATGATCCATCTATATGAATTCCTACGCACATTTTTCAAAATATATTAGATTGTTTGAAGTACGAATTTAAAATTTCCAAAATATTTTGGGCTTTTGTGTATTTTAATAATTTTTTATAGAACAAAAATTGATTTATTGATTTTATTATCATGAATACATCGAATAAATCCTATTAATTGTGCTTTACCATTAATATCTGTGGACTCGTCGATTTGTAGAACAAAATTTGTTTTTATGATACTTTTATTTACATTTTTTTCTATATTCACTGACGAATCTTATCATTAAATAACGGAATTTTCGAAATTTCATTTAGCGCTTTATCATCGAACATTATTTTTCAATTTCACTACATAAAGGTAAAATTAATAATTTGAAACGAGTGTGATTTTGTTTTTGAGTAATTAATTCCGCAACTTTATAAGAAGCAATTTGCGTTTTATCAGACACTAACTTTTTTCTCAAAATATTTTTTTTGTTTTGATTGCATATTAATAAGTTCTTTAAAATAAATCTGATCTTTTCATTCAAGATGACTATGGTTTGTAATTAGATGTCGATTTAATTTAATCGGGACCATTAAACTATTCGAAAGATTTTCACCACACACAACGCATAATGGAAGAAGTTTTTCTTAATTTTCCGTAAAAAAAAAAAAAAAAAATTCAAAACTTAAATAATTGTCAGCATACGAGTACTTCCGAATAACTAGGTTTTTTTTGCCAAATTTTCGACACTTATTATTCTCTATAGTATAGTATTAATAATAACCGTCGTATAAAGTCTATACGACGGTTATTATTAATACATTTATCAATTTTATCGAAAATACCTTATTTTAATTATTTTAAATGCATATACTAAACCATGATTATTAGAAAACATTGACGATTAACGACTATTAGTTGTTCATAATATTTAACTTTGGCTGCCAAACGATAATAATAATTATTATTGATAACGAAAATTAAGTACTGGAAAAATTTCTTTTTCTAATACCTAAGAATATTCTACACGCGTGTAACACGGTCGCGGTACACCTACAGCCAGTTTGCAGCACACTCGTGTTTCGCGGAACATCGGTTGAGAATCACTGTAATAGACACTTGAAATTTTTGATTTTCCTAAATTTAAGACTTTTTTTAGGGCTTTGCATAAAATCAGAGCTGGCTCAAGATGTAGGCGAGCTAGGCACCTGCCTAGAGCGGCAATTTAATAGGGGCAGCATTTTCAAAATTAACTCGTATATTTTTTCTAATTCTATCGGTGTTTTATAAGAATAATATTTAAATTAATTCATTCGTGAAAACCACTTATCTATATAGTAAAATAATATTGTCTACATTTATTATATTACATTATATTACAGCCTACTCTGGGCGTTTTCAATTATTCCAAAAATATAAATAACCACACAATCACTTCCGCGATTTCTGATAGAAAATAGGAGGAGAAGCTAAGTTAAAATAAGAGCTCAATTTTTTTTTAGAGGTGGCAAAATTTGATTTTGCCTAGTGCACTATTTTTGCTTGGGCCGGCCCTGCATAAAATCATTTATTCGAGTTTCGGGTTTCAGATTTTGAAGAAAATTCGTGTTTTTGAACTCGGAGGTTTTAGGTTAGTGAAATCTTCTGGTTATGATTAAATGTATATTTATTTAGAATAATAACAGTTAATTCGAATGTTAAAAAAAAACCCATGTTTCATATTATTCAACATGTCAATACGAATTTGGTATATTTTTATTTAAATATAACGAAAATCATATTAAATTAATACTTATTATTAATCAGTATTTTTTCCGGTTTTAAGTTAACCTAAGTATTTCATTCAGGTTTCGCGTGTTAATTCGGTATTTATTTTTAAAAAGGTTTTGAATAAACGGGTTTCGAGTTATATTATTTATTCAGATTAATTTGGTTTTCGAGTGACGTTCAAATGCAAAGCCCTGTTTTTATTTTTTTTACAATAACAATTTTATACAGTAATATATATAAATTTAAATAAATATATATATACATTTTATATAATATAGGTTTAATAACTATACTGAATAAAGTTCAAAATAAATTCTTACGGTTTATAGTTTATAACAGTGATGACAAACCTTTTTCCTTTGATGGGCCGCTTTGGTAAACAATTATCTTCAAGCGGCCCACAAAGTATAAAAGTACAAAAATAATCTTATATATTGGACTTGTTTTCTTTTCTTTTCTTTTATTGTCTATCGAAAAGATTATGAATTGAGGTATACATAATTGTATTTTTTGGAATAATTTAAATAAAAATAATATACGTATGAAAATAAATAATTTAAAAATTTTTTCATACATTTTTAAAATTTTTTTTTATTTTAGAAAATCCGTAATGTGTCACATAGAATACCTTCGCGGGCCACATGTGGCCCGCGAGCCGTGGGTTGGGTACCACTGGTTTATAATATATATAATCTTAAACTCCTCTACTTACTAGTCTTAATCTCGAATCCCTAGAATATCGGAGAGTCATGATTTATATTTTATTTATAAATTAATAAATGGCCAAATTGATTGTTTTGATGTTTTACATCTACCAATATTCCAAGCTTCTCCAACAAAAACAAGATTAATTTTTAATTGTTATTTAAAAACTCGACCTACAAATTATACTATCAAAACTCTACTATCTAGAATTATGTTATTTGTAAATACCTATAAAACTTATCATTTCTGTTCTTGCACTTTTCATTATTTTTGAAAATCATGCGTCTATTAATATAGTTTTACTTATAAATTGACATAACTATATTCAATATTCAATTTTATATTTTTAAATATTTATTTTATTTCACCTTTTTTAGTTTATATATAATTATGTTTTAATATTACTCACGAATGTTATTGTAAGATTTGTATTATACCTAAATATGTAATTGTGTCCAAACCCGTTTCATTTTCAAATAAATATATAAATAAATGTTGGGGGATTAAAAGTTCAACCTACATAATTAAAAAATTTGATTCTACTCACATAACAACCATATTTATAAATATAAACTGATCCACTAGATCTCTTTCACCCAGGATCGTTTTTATTCTGAGAGTAATAGTACATAAGTTTCAAGTTTAAAAAAACAATACATTCACCTATCCCAATATGTCATCCGACCGTGGAGTGTCACCCGACCAAGGAGTTCCATCCTTTTTTTATTTTATTACTTATTCCCGACGGCATTTCGAGTATTATTGAGATATTTTTACGTTTATATTGTTTTCCAGGTATAGTAATAATAATGCATGTAGCCAAGAAATTGACGATTCTGAGGTATATTCGTTTTCAAAATGGTTTACCGTATCGAGCATGAGAATGACGAATAGTTACACCCAATATGTATCAAGAGTGTTAATTCTCTTATACTGTAAGTATTAATAATTTCGATTTAAATTTTCTCGTCCGTTCGAAATGGTCTCCTAAGAACTTACGCGAAAGCACAATATTCATTCGTCATTGGTTTGACGTCTTACAGCGTTTGGATTTTCCAAGATTATCGCACACCGCTATCTTTTTCGGTACACGTTTTAACATATTGTTTATTTATTCACGTGTTTCAGCCGTTGCCGCGAGTGTGTTTTGCCTTTGCGTGGTAAACTGGAATTACTTCGATGGCACCGTTAACACCGTACTGAGCATCACGATTTTCGTTTCGTTGGTGATCTTAATAACCGCCACAATGCTATTACACCGGCTACCGCAAGCTGTTGAAAACTTATCGTTCAAGGTAAGAACTAAATTATTTCCTCGCGGTACTTTGAGATCAATTTTTTATCATTTGTACATAAATACTGATGCCTAACGACGTGTGCGTACCGAAATCGCCCCGGCGTACGCCGCGTTGCGGAATCAACACCATTTATAAGTTTTGTTTTCACCGTCCGTATAGGTACCGTTCGTCCCGTTCGTGCCCTGTTTGAGCATAGTTCTGAACCTATACCTAATGATGGAGCTGAACTTCAAGACGTGGATAAGATTTTGCGTATGGTTATTCATCGGTTGGTATTTATTGCAGCTTTTCGTAGAATACTATTTCACTATAGTAGTATTATTTGAATTACCGTGTACCTATTGTTCGTGTGTTTTTAATCAAATTAATTTTCCCGACAAATTGGATGACTCGTATCGAATCAATTGAATAGAATTAACATTTTTTAAAAAAATAAATACTTTTATCCATGAAAGAAAACCGTCGAGATTAAAATGTATAAATTAATATACAGATATACTTTTGCCGAAATTATGTCACTGGACGATATCTTATTTATAAGTATTCGTGAAAAATATACAAAAAAAGTATTATTATATATTTAAATAATTTTTATGCAAATATTTATTGATGCTATTATTATTCGTATTTTACTCTATCCGATCTTATACACCGATTGTATTTTACTTGTGTGCCTAATTGCTCTCAATTAAAAATTTAAAAAAATCCGACGTCATCCCTTTAGTATAAAATTCAAATAGTACATACTTCATGCACTACAATAGTGTTCTTAATTTGAATATTAACGTATGTAAATATTATTGTCCTTGTTTATTTTATAGGTCTATTGATATATGCTTTCTATGGGATTCGTCATAGTTTAGAACGTGAAAATATTACAAAGAAAAATATCGAAAATAAAGAAATTAGCTGCGAACCAAAAATCTCCAATCAATAGTACGATAAATATATATTTAAGTTTATTAATTTGTTCATACGAAAAAAAAACCACCATCTTATACAGTATTATATTTGACAATATAATTAAGTAATGTATGGTTTAATATAATTATTAAATTATGAATGTTGAAAATATGTGTTATACAAAGATATTGTTTTCTGGTTTAGCTGATTTTTCAAATTTTATTGTTAAATTATTGAATTTTTATACTTTAGTGATTTACCATCTTAAATTTTTTACTATTAATATTTTATTTCATCCTTTTGGTCTGATTTGTCATATTATCATTTGTCCTGTTAATCAATTTTTATCAATTAAAGATACTTTTCTTAAATTATTTTTTTAATAATTTTCTTACATTATTGTCATATGAAATAATGAAAAAATATCACCATATACTCATATACTGTCTAGAACAATATCATGCAGAGGAGGAATGGTAAAACAAATTTAATTTCAATTTTCTTAAAAAAAAAAAAAAAAATGAATACAATGAATGATAACTATTTATACAGGAAATTACAATAAGAAATGACAATAAAATAGTAGTGACCACATCCTGGATCTTTGCGTTATTAAATATGGTATGGTCGAGAGATAGTTCATAAATACAGAATTCATAAGAAATTATCATATTTTTACTATCATTTTCATATACACACACACATTTAGGATTTACACATACATTTGCATATATTGGATATAAAAGGGACCCGAAAACAAGGGCAAATTAGACGAGTTCTGGCTACTTCTGGCAATGCGACACTGAGCACCTTCACGCTAGTGTATGTTACGATTTGGACTTAAAAATATTTTGAATCATTTTTTATAGTTTAATTTCTGGACTTAGAATATTTTCGACAGTTTAAATATTTGGACTTGGAGTATTTTCTACAGTTTAAATATTTTGAACTTAGAATATTTACAACTACCTTAAATTTATTGTACTTGGAATAATTTTAACAGTTTAATAAACCAATTATTCCTAAAGAGTATTAATTATTTCATCACTATACCTACATCCAAGCGTTGACTAGATTACTAGTAATTGAAATTAACGATCAAACGGTTAGCACGCAACAAGTAGGTCACATCTTGAAACGATCAGTCCAAGGTGCATCCAGCCATACACTTATATAACGGAGACACAATATCCTTTTTCGAAGCTCTTGATCTTAGGTCGCCAATGTGTGCGCATGGACTATCAGATTAGTGAAGGAGTCTTCTGTGCCACCGTGTACGAATATTTAACTTGATTTGAGTTTTTTGTGCGAGTGTTAACAAGTGTTCAACCACAGTACATCAAATCCTGTGTTTGTCTTATTTCAACTTCATTACACTCCTGCAATAGCCGTAAGTGCACTGCTCGTTGACATTCGAATAACTGCTACAATACAAGTAGATGTGTTTTATTTGGCTTGCCAAACTATCCAGTTGAACTGATCGGCTCTCGAACCTTTGTAACCACAAGAGTCTTCCCTTAAACAAGGAGGAATATAATCAACTCATAATACATTATACTTACCACACACCATATCCCCCCCCCCTATATTTTATATTTAGTTTTGTATTTTCAGGTTATTACAATATTTTAAAAATTATAATAATTAGCAAAAAAATATTGTCATATAATCATAATTAGTATAAACATTTTACATATTCATACCTATATATTTTATTTTCATTATATAACATATACTATGGCGTATTTTCAATTTTTTCTGGGGGGGGATCCACAGTTTATACATAATCAATATAAACTATACATTATATTGTAATAGGTACGTCCTTATGCAGTTTTTGGAGAAGATTGAACTAAATATATAATGTAATAATCGTATAGTCTTGTGTAATATTTTATATATATATATATATATATACCTATATATTGTATTTAGCACTACATATTATAAAGTATTGTTATAAAATAAATTCCAGTCGTCTCGATTTCTTGGCCAACTCCTCTATCCAAGTGTGCCCGCAGGTTAAAATCCCACCCGGGGCAAGATTAAAATTCTAAGGGCCAAAGCAACGTGAATCTAAAAATAGATGAGAACAAAATCAGATACCATAGAAATCGGTACTCGGGAGAATTTATAGTTTAAGCGATATGCAATCATGTGTAAACATCGTATACTAATAAATACGTTTAAGATTATATATTTTAGATTATCTAAAAATATAATAAATATTACTAAAGTTCATAAATGGATCTCAATAAAATTATGTTATAATTAATATACGTGGTATTAATTACAATAGTTTTGAAACAAAAATTACAATTTGTAAGGACAATGGCCCCTTTTGCCCCCCCCCGGCGGGCGCGCATGCCTCTATCACTTCATCAACCAACAGTAATTTCAACTTCCCTGTGAATGTTTAACATAGCCAATTCTGCAAATAT